TCTACAAGCAAAAGATTACTGCTTCCTATCACCTATTCTTACTCCACACAGCACTAGCACATGAAAGTACAGAAACATGACGAAATCGAGCTAAAATGGAGCCAACCCAAATCTGTTCCGTTCTGATGCATTAATTTTTTTCTCTTTATTTGCTATTATTCTTTCCTTTTGCAACCAGTTTTCCTACCACATGTTGGTTTTATCTCTTTTTTTTTCCTCCCTTCTCCTTGAAGTTAATCTCATAGCACTTTCCTTTACCCAGTGTTCTTATTCCAGCTGTTTGAGTTTACATGATACATTTGGGCTAGATTTTCATTGATATAGAGCAATGTTTCACCAGCAAGAAGGTACTTACAAAGTTTGGTTTTTGGGTGTTTTTTTTAATGTTCATGTGGTAAAATAGGAGCACATTTTTGAAACATGTTGTCTTCTCTGAAATCTGCTGTGGATTTCAGTCAGCTTGTGCAGAACTAGTAAGTGATGTGAATTTTTCCAGGGCCCTGGATTTGAGCTGCTCTGCTATATCAAACACCATTCCACTGCACTGCTGGCCAAGAGCTTCCAGTACCCAGCCTGTCCTGCTCCTCTCCTTGATAGTGCAGAGTCTTGAGAACTCAAGTGAAGAAAGTTTCTAGATTTTCTTTGCTGTACAGGCAGAGGGCTGACAGCCATAACCAAAGCTGTCAATTTCTCAAGTTTGTGGTCCTTTTAGTTTTTGAAAAAGTATTTGTTTTGGAATTTGGGGGGTTTTCTGTAAAATAAGTCTTTAGGGTTTAGTCGGCTTCATGCTTAACTCACCTTGGAGTCCTTAAGAAAAACCTAGTTAAGTTTGCCACAGACATATTCTATCTGCCTGTGGATGTTTCCATACTTTATAATATGGAGCTTCTATTAATTTACAGGCAAATACTGTTTCTGCTGTTTACAGAGCTATAGTACCATGGAACATAGACTCTGTAGAGTTTTCACTAGTGCATTGTCAAAATAAAGCTAGAAGCATAGGTTTTTTTTTTCAGAAATTCAGAGCCATAAATTATTTTTTGCTTAAAATGCCAATGAGAAAATAGAACTATCAAGAATATAATAGTAAGTATATATTTAAAGTAGTGACAAAAATTACTAGTAATTAAAGAAAGTTTAAAAAGTTGGTAGTTATTCCTCTTTTTACAGGAAAAGAAATGTCATCCTGCTATTCCATACATTGCCCAATTTTTACATCACCCTAGAAAGAGCCTACATTGACGTAATTTTAATACTTGTCTCTGAATAGGTCATTAATTTGGATGGAGAATTCTTCACCTGAATTAAGTCAGGTGAAGAATTAATTTTCCTTTTAAGTAACTTAGGTTCTTTGGTATATATGTGATGATATTCTTGGGTGAAGTGCAGGGTTTTTTCTCTGCTTCACAAATTGCTGAAAGGTTGCAAATATCTTTTTGTTCATTTAGTTGATGATCTGACAAACATTGTTTCATTATTTTACTCTTTGGTTAAAGTATGAAAACTTCCATTTTTGTTCAGTTAATAACATTTCATTCATTCTTTGCACCTTCTTACTTCAGAGATAAATTTTTTAATGCTGAATTTCTTTTTAATCCTTTGTTGTAAAATGTGCTCAAAGCATTCTCCCAAACTGAGATCTTAAAATGCGTTTGCTGTATCCATACAGCTGAGTAAACTGTTGCAAAGTGTTCTTTTACAGGAAACTAAAACCATTTTGATCAGTTTTACTTAACTACTACTGTTAAGCTGCATGTAACTTCACTACAATACTACTATGAATTTATCATTTGGCTTTAACATTTATAATTATTGATTAGAATATAATTTTTCTGTAAATACAGGAAAAAAATTGAGTCTGAATCTTAACTTTCCCTAACTTTTCTTCTAAATTTCCCAAATCCTTACCTTCACTTTTCTCAGATTCTTTATTTACATTTATTGAATGTCTCTACTGTGTCTCTATGTACGGGGGTGTGGCTGAAGAGTATTTATAAAGCCAAAGTGAATTTCAAAGATCATACAGCTCTTTTTGCTGCTGCTGATGTTAAAGAAGACTACTGAGCCAAACACTTATTAATTTATTTATTTAAAAACTTGATTAGTTGGCCTGTTAAAATAAATTATCTGTCCTATAAACCTGCCTTGTTAATTTTTGAAAATTAGTTGGAGCTAAACAAATTTCACTCTTAAGGATTACAGTCACAAAAATCTTAGTGAATACTTTTGAAAACTCCATTCAATGTATGTTCAAAAGCACTGTTTAGAAAAGATCTGGGGACTTATTTTCTTACCTGTCTTCGTCCTTATTACATTGCTGTCCTGTAGAGCACTGCCTTTGAGAAAGGTGGTTATTGCTCATCACATTCCCAATCTTTTCATTGCAATGTGAGCTGAAACAGAAAGCAGCTTACAGAAGTCAGTATCCAGTACAAGAGGAGAAATGATTTATAGAACAGAGGATTTTGGAGTTGGACTTAAGAGACAGTGCTCTCTGTTTTACAGAAAAGTGAGCCATTTTGTTCGTTTTCCGAGTTTGGGTTAAAGAAAAACCGTGAAAAGCAGATCTCTGGCAATAATACTTAAGCAAGATAATGAGATTAATAATCTGAAAAACTTGTTTAATTTATATAGGTATTTCTACCTTTATCTGTTAAAATAATTGTGCAATTTCAATTTATTTTTTTTTAGCCCTGTTAAAAAGAAAATTTCCTGTTAGAGATGTGGATCTAAATTATACTTTTAAATCTATTGGCCAGAAAAGGAGATTTTACAACAGTAGTGCATAATTCCCAAGATCCTGTAAATTGATTTTTCAGCCTTGCAATGATGAATTTGGGCCTGATATTTGCATTATCCACACAGCACATATTACTGTAACCCCATTTATTTAAGTGAAGGCTGCGTTTACAAGATATTGTTCTGCTGGAGACTAAATGGAATGCATTTTACTAATTGGGGAAACTAATGGGAGGCTATCTTATTCTGTATCAGCTGTGTTTATGCATTCACCAGAGGTCACTAGATCATATACCAATAGGAACCCTCAAAATACCAAATACATGCTGGTTTCAGCTTTAAGTCTTTCTGACAAAGGACTGGGAAAGCACAAGTCAGGGCACAAGTATGGTGAGCTACAGAATATATTTTTGATTTTGAGAATAATTTTTCATCAATAGTCTATCAAATTATATAGAGAATATCTTGTCCTCCTGTATTCAGCTTCCTTTGACCCTAATACTTCTAATTAGAAAAAAACCCACTAAACAAGGCCTAAACCAAAACAACCAGTAAACTTCTACATCAGTAGAGTTTTGATAAGATTATGCCAAACACCACAAAATTAAGACATGCCCAAATGCAATTTGCTCTTGAAACATGGAGCACTACTTTGCATGCCCACTAAAATATGTATTTTTGAAGGACTCAAAATTTTTATTCCCTCCATGAACTTCTGTGATTCCTAGAACAAGACTAAGAAAACAGGCAGCTTCTCAATAGGATTTTTTGTCTTTGTTGTGTATGCTTTCCTTTGTTGGTTTTTGCCTTCTCAGAAGATAGAACTGTTCATTTCCTTATACTACTTGAATATATGTGTTTCATAGACACTAATTAACATCTCTTACAAACTCATCTGAGGAGCGCCATAATCATCATTTAGTACATTAATAGCTGCAGCACAGAAAAATTAAGGTGAATGCAATTGTTAGTTTATGTTATAATTTTTTGAGTCCACCAAGGAAGGGATCCTGTGCATCTTCTTTACATCTACCTAGATCTACTGTGCATGGTACAAAATAATTACTCTTCTAAGATATATTTTTTGGAATAAGTAGTATCTGGGCATGTAATTTGCTATTGCCATAGCTGTATGCAAAGGACCAACTTAAATTTTCCCTCTTTCAATATTTTGATGACTATAGTTTGCGATTGTACTCCTTATTCTTTGGGGTTTTTTGTTTCACTATAGTTATTTATTATGTATAGGTTTTATATGTATTTATTCAGATGCTAACTGTGTAGATAATACTGCTGAATATTTTTTCTCTGCAGCAAAAATATCTTTTTAATGAGGATGCAAAAAAATTCTTATTTTCATAGTCTCTCTAGTAATGTGTCACCTTTCTGATGTTCTTTATGACTACTCCATTCATTGTTAAAAGAAATTTATTTCTATTTAAAATTAACTATGAGGAGCTCTGAAATTTCCCCTGAAAATGTTGAGATTAACATTTACCATCACTGCATGAAGGGATTGTAAATGGACAAGACAAAAAAAATATATTCTATTGAATTAACTAATAGACAGCTTCCTGCTATGAAATATTTTACCAATAGGTACAGAACTACAGATAGAGACATAAATATTAATCAATTGATTTTCAAACTCCCTTGAATGCTCTTGTGTCCTTTCCTGACCTTCACAGTTTTATTAGCCAAAAATGGGCAGTGCTGTGGGAGACAGCTATGGTTAGGAAAGAAACTGGACAATTATTTTGCAACAAGTAATGCATCAAAAGTGAACGAGGATTTTTAAGTTCTTAGAAATTTGAGAAGTTGCAGTAGTAAGCAAATTATTTCAATGTTCATATTGACAGAAGGATGACTGCTGTGTATAATCTTACTGATGGAGGGTAGGTAGCTTCTTCCCCAGACCAACCACTCTGGATGGACCCTTTTATTAACATGTTAATAACTGAGTAAAAGATTAGTGATGGAAAATGGATTGCCCTCTTATCTAGCAGCAGGCATTCCATGATTTCAACATATCTGTGGTGGATGAAGAGGTCTCAATGCTACTCTTTTAGTACTCTTGTGCAACTTGATAAATCAGCTGTTCATTTGTTCACTATCCAAGAAACATTTAAAACAAACTTCAATGTATCCTAGACATTCAGAAGACTTCACTACCTAATGTTTTCCTTCAGAAAAAAAATCTTTACAGTATGTGAGATAGATTTAATACAATAATTTCCTCTTTTTTTTCTTCTTTCCCTTAGGCATTTCCTGGCAATACAAACTCTGACAGTGTGGTCCGGCACGATTTACAACATCCCGTTATTGCTCGCTATGTAAGGATAGTTCCTTTGGACTGGAGTGGAGAGGGCCAAATTGGGTTAAGAATTGAAGTCTATGGCTGCTCCTATTGTAAGTTTTTCTATGATGATCCTTTTTTTTTCCCCTAAAAAAACCCTGGTTTTGGATCTCAGATTAAAACTGAATCTCAAATACTTTTACCTTAGACAGGTTAAAATGGGATTGCTGGTTGTTTTACCCAGGGTTTCATGAAATATTTGTTGGAACCTTAACTCTGAGTTGCTGATTTGTTCTTCTCTGGAAGATGCAACCTTGGAATTCATGATAGTACTTTGAAGTTTCTTCTTTTTATCTTCATGGTTTCTTTAGCAGAAGGCTTTGACTATTGTAAAAGCTTGAAAGGGGCAGTTAAGGAAAATATAGTATTCAAACAGATGTCATGTTGGGTCCTGAGGGGAAAAATGGAAACGACGTCATTTATTGCCTGGTGCTAGAGATAAAATTAAAGTGATAAATAAGAATTCCATCAGAGTAGCTCAGACTGTCTATATATGTGATGTGTTTTTCAGAGGTATTGCCTTGAGTATTTGAATATTTGGAATTTCATTTGAAATCTGGATGAGCAATGGTACAAATGCTCCTGTACTTAAGAGTAGAACTGATAATGTTTTATGAAAAGCAATGGTAATTTCTAAATGCCCTTCCTTCAATTAAATCTAGTAAGTACTTAAAGAAAATCTGCAAACCAGCAGAAAGTGGAGTGTATGATGTCCTATTTCTAAGTATCTATTTTTATCCTGGCTTTACTGGTATTTTAGCTGGAAAATACTATTTGAGATTTGTCTTTTAATAACCAGGCATTAGAATAAAGTGGGGAACACACATCTACAAGTCTCATCCATTCACTTCACTGAGTGACATAAAACATATGGGTGCCCTTTGATATTCTAACAAAAAAGAAAAAACTGATTTCACTTGTTGTTTTGAATTGATTATCTAGTCAAAAGACTATGTACTTTCATTCAACAAGAACCGTAAAGTATAGATTTTGGGGTTTATTTTTCTTATTTCCATATCATGAATTAAAGCCCTGTTATAAAAGTGTATATTAAACCACAGAGAGTTTCACAGCGGCTGCAGGAACTTAGTTGAGAAATCGAATCAAACTTTGTGATGTTGGTGCTGCAGTGCTGAGGGCATGCATGGATGAATATATTTTTAAAACAACAACAGGAGGACCTGTTGCAATAAGACAAAGGGCAATGGTTTTAAACTAATAGAGGGTCAGTTTAGATTAGATATAAGAAGGACATTTTTTACAATGAGAGTAGTAAAACACTGGAACAAGTTGCCCAGAGAGGTGGTGGATGCTCCATCCCTGGAAACATTCAAGGTCAGGTTGGATGGGGCTCTAAGCAACCCAGTCTAGTTGAAGATGTTCCTGCTCATTGCAGAGGGATTGGACTAGATGGCCTTTAAAGGTCCCTTCCAACCCATACTATTCTATAAATCTATGATTCTACAATACCTGAGGAACTGTGGGTTACTCTAAAGTTGACTCTTACTCAAAGAGAAACTGAGCTTCTGAAGTTTTAAGTATGACTGATTATTCAGTACATGGCTCTTAATAAACTAGTGTTTACCATCATAATGCTAAAATATTTTATGTGCTGTTTGAAGTGTACCAAACACTACAGCATGGTTAATTTTCCAGCATAATAAATGCTTATTTTTAAGTATACCTCCTTACTTGTACATCAGATGCAAATTCAGGTGTTTGATACAAGAAACCAGCATCTAGTTTACTGTCAAATGTAACTCTCTTTAAATGAAAAACAGTAGCAGAATCAAACGATAAACATCATGATATTTGCTGCAATATTTATTGGTAAAAAATGGTCGCTTTTTTTGAAATAGAAAAAATACTGTAGGTACATAACAAGATGCTTTAGAGGCTAGAAGTAAATATGAGAAAAAAATAAAACAGGACTTGACAAAACTATTTTAGTTCTTTGATGAGAAGTTGTTTCTTTGATGAACTTTTAGGGGAGAATGAAAAGCATCTGGCAAGGACACAATGTATGGAACTATAAAAGTACTGATAAAATGTGTCTTCACAGAAGAACTAAGATGACAACATAATTTTGTAATTTTGATGAACGAGTATTGCTGGTCTGTTTGTATTAGAAGGGATTTCAATAATTGTTGGTTTTTTCAATATAAGATTAATTATATTACAGTTTTATGTGTATGGGGACTTTTCTTTTAACAACCCTCCTAAAATGCTGTGTGGTTTTTACGTGCGGAATTGGGCTGCTCCCAAAGTGGTATCAGTAGAGAGCAGCAGAGCAGTTCAGAAGAAAAACTAAAAAATCACTATGTAAAAAGATAAGAAAGCAGCCCTTTGGTATGACTACTGGAACAAGGGATTACTGTGTACAAATTCCTAGCTTGTCCTCAAATGAATTATTTGGAGCCAGGTGTATAATGCTACACCTTTCCATGTAGATGTGTCCTTTGGTAGAGGCCAAGTTTTTAACCTTATGATTAGAAGTGCATATATTTGCATATAAATATAAGCACTGTCATTAAACAGTGTGATTTGCAGATTAATTCTGCTGTCATGTAAGGAGCTGGCCATTTTGATAATCACCAATTTTAAAAGCCTGATTAAAAGACAGGCTTCTAGTCAAATCTGCACCAAATTTTGGAACTACTACCTAAATAAAAAGGCTGCCCAATATATTGCAATTTTAATTTTTTTTAAGTTAATAGATTCATAATTAATATATTCTTTTTTTAGATATTTTAGAGGGCACATTTTCAGATACAAAAATAAGATTTTCTCACATTGCAAGCAAGATTTAATTGGGAAGCCATACACTTAGTGACTATAAAAGCTCTTTTCTTGCATATTGCTGCAACCTGGTCATTAGCATCACACTATTAAGAAAAATGCTTCCTCATATGGAACTGCTTATTCAAAGGTCGGGTCATTAATTGCCATAATTTCTGGTTCCCATTTTGTTTGAATATACATGTAAGATACACATTTAATTTTTCTGTGCAAAAAGTGAAATCCATGTCTTTTCTTGCCCAGCAAAGTAAGTTAAAAAGGTGTGTTTTCCAAGGAGGCATTAGAGCTCACATCTGTTCCCTAGATAATTTAATAGCATTACCAAATGTTCTTTTTTAGTGTTTTGCTTAAAGTTTAAAATCTGTGCTGCATTTGAAACTTCATCTATGTATTTTGTGTAGATAAGATCTGTGAAGTTGTCTTCTGACAGAAGAGTTCATAAAAGTTACCAAAAAAGAATTAAGGCCTCATTCTGCAACAAGATTCAGAATGAAATTTGTATTTTTTTCTGTGAATAAATGGTGATATCATATTTAGAAAATATTTTCATTCTCTATATGGCAAAACTGACTATGTCTTATTTAAAAAGATAATGAAATTGGATAAAGAATTTGCTTCATAGCTATATTAATGGAGGAGTTGCATGAGCAAAGTAAGCTTGAAAAATCACAACAAATAGACTATAACATAACATTGTTTAGTCAATGGGACTTTTAGCCTGTATTTTAAAGTTATCTATTTCATACTCCATAAAGGGAAAAAGGGTCTTTACACTTTCAGTGACATCATATATCAAAAAGCAAGTCACAAAGAAGAGAGTATAACCAAAGGCAAAATATCCAGTGAAATCAGTTAAGTGAAAACTGATGGCAAAATTTTATTCATGCTCTTTTGGAGGCAGAGAGCAACGACACATGACATGTATCTTCCACCATGTTCACAGTTATGAATTTTTGAGACAGGCAGCAAAGACATGGCATCTGGAGGCTATGACAAGTACAATACAGTACATTTTACTACTGATTTATGAAGATCATAATAAGCTCCTGCAGGATTACAGCCATATGAATAGTTCCCTTAATCTCCATCCTGTGGAAGATGAATGCCTACAAAAAAAGGCAAGAGGCATATTATAGCATAGGCTTTGGCTATGCTTTTCAAGATAACTGTATGAGGCCTTCTGGGTCCTAAAACCCTTTGAGGGGAAAACACTCCCTGATACCTTTGTTCACAGAGGGATTTTTATATGGCTGTGCTGATTTTCTGGATCTAAACCATACATCTGCACCTTTTTTGATACGATTGCACATCTGACAGTAAGAATTTTCAAATTCCAGATGACTCACTTCTGAAGTGTAGTATATACTTGAAAAAAATCACTTGGAGATGGCAGAAAGCCATGCAAATACTCAATATACTCAAGGCAAATAAGTGGCAGGAACAATTATAAAGCTTCATGAATAACGACTGCAAGCTGAGCTCTTCCGTTCGCTGACTAGCTCTATTTGCTAATCCTTAGAGAGCAGTGGGACTGAACAAATGTCACCTGAGTTGCATTTGCAGAAATGTTCTTTTCAGATATTGGCTCTACTACTTGTAGTGATCTATGTCAAATGTTACTGTTTTGATTTCCTGATGGGTGACAGGTTTTGTTTGTTTGTTTGTTTGCTTGCTTGGTTTTGTTTCAGGTTTTTTTGAGGGGGAGGGAAAAGAAGGAAAAATACTAACAACAGTCTTGTGGTTATTCATGAAAAAATGAATATTTGTATGGTGAGCATTTACTCTACAGATAGTAAAGTGAACAGAACTTTGGTCATGTAAACATGTTACAAGAACAAAAATAAGGTTTGGAAATGCAGTTAAGGGGTGAGCCAAGTGAATGTTTGCAAGAGCTGATTAGGAAGTATTGAAGTGCTAAAACCTGTGGGCTGAACGGATCTTTTGGTTGTTGTAGTTAATCCTGTCTGCCTGCAGTGACTTTGACTTAAGACATTGTTTCCTTTGGCAGTTAATTCCACATTCATCTATACTTACTGCTAGGAAATTTACTTATTTGAAATCTCTTTTGCTCGGTTGGTTTCATGCTCTTGGCACTAACTAACTATCCATGTCTCACTTGCTGTCTCAAATGGTTACCATGCACACTTAAAAGAGAACCCCGTACTGTACAGAATAATCTATTGCATCCAAATGTCAAAGTGACTATTCAATGCAGATAAGAAAGCCACTATTACTTCCAAGTTTCACTTGGCCA